TCATTCTCTTGTTTTTATTTGTTTCCATTACTAGCTTTTGGTTTCATTGACATGATCTTTTTATGCAACAAAAAGTAATAGTACTAATTTATGTGGCATTGTTTGAATTTCGATAGTCAAACTTTTTATTTTTAAGACTGAATTCAGACTTATAATTTTTAAGTGTTTTATAATAAAATTTACATATTTGAAAATTAGGTTAAAAGTATGATAAGTCACAATAATTAACGGTATGATTTAATTTCAATGTGGATAGAGATGACTGGAGGATTTTTAAAAAAAAAATTTAATGCATAAATAATCTTTTTAAATTGTTGGTCAATTTTATTAGATACTGGAACAATGACTTATTTTAATTGAACACCTGGAAATATATATGATAAAATATTCTTATTAAACACTTTCCATTTAAATTTAAAAAATGACTTTTGGACATGTGTATTGTTCTCAAGTACCTATTAAGTTAACTACTTAAAATATATCACCTTATTTAATTACACATTAGTCTCAGTAAATCGATCCAATATATGAAATTAAACCGAGTTAATTATTATATATATAGTACAATACATTATGAAATGATAAGTATCAATCATCCAAACAAGCTATAAGATATTAACTCAACTTATAAATCTGGCTCAAGTAACTTTTACTCCTTCCTTTATCACAATTTATGTGTAATACTCTAGATCTTCCTTTTTAGTTATCCCAAAAGAATGTCAGGATATATATTTAAAAATAATATTTAATTTTAAATTCTCAACATATCATTAATAAGATGATTTATAATCGTATAAATAAATGTATATGACTTATTTAGATTAACGTTTTAGAAGTGTTAGATTTTTTTCCTCTCAAATTGTGTTCCTTTTTAATTTTTTGTATCTTTCTATTTTCAAATATTTTATTGTTTATAAAGTAAACTTTTGGTATACACAGCATTAAGGCAACTATTGACCGATACAAGAAGGCAACTGCTGAAACCTCCAATGCTTGCACCACTCAAGAGCTCAATGCTCAGGTAATTAATTAAGCAAAACCATTAGTGCTAATAATAAACCATAAGAATTCGTCACTAATTCTATTTCGCGATGGATTATAAAAAAACAAATTATTAGCTATATCACACAAATTTATATTGTTTTGGCTATCATGTATGTAGTTTTATCAACAAGAATCAAAAAAGCTGCGCCAACAGATACAAATGATGCAGAATTCAAACAGGTAACACCATAATAATTCAATAAATTAAATTTGAGATGAATTTTAAAACTAATTCCATTAATCGTTTTCTAAAAATTTATATACATAAAATATTATATATATCCACGTGTAGGCATCTGGTTGGTGAAGGGTTAAGTTGTTTGAACGTAAGAGAGCTGAAGCAGTTGGAAAATAGACTTGAACGAGGCATCAGTAGAATCAGATCAAAAAAGGTATATTTGTAAAATTGTTAGCTAGCACTACTAAAATATTGTTGTAATTACATACTATTGCATTGTTTGGAGTTGCAAACAATACATATTTTTCTTTACGCATTATGACAAAATTATTTCATGAAAATATGACTCGCTTGACATGCTTCAAGCCATTTGGATCTGCTCATATATAGTCCAAGGCCCTAAATTGAGTAATGGGAAACCTTGCCCTTTTTGTTGTTATTTTTTTTTTTTTTTGATATGTCATATAGAGAAAGGAAACAAAAAGTTTGATATTATTTTTGTTTGGTAATTAAATGAATTATAAGAAAACAAATAAATTAATTGAAACTTGATAAGAGTTGAGCAACATGGGATATGATCCATTGTTTAGTCCATCGTGATACAACTCATCTCAGCCCAGATAACCTTTGAATGGATTAACAATCCGCTCATTTATTAACTTAACTCATTGTAATCCGATCTGTCTTTTGACAACATTACATGTAGTGACAATGTTAGCCTAAGTAGCAAAATATTTATGTTGATCATACAAATCCTCATAACAATAGCTTTGATGTTTGTTATGTGGTTGAACAGCATGAGATGATACTGGCTGAAACTGAGAATTTGCAGAAGAGGGTAATAATTTATTGAAACTTGTTTTTATCCTTTTTGTGTTTTGGGTTCAGACCAATTAATATCACTATGTTTGGCACATTATAATCTTTCAATTTGCTGTTTTAATAGGAAATTCTACTGGAACAGGAGAATGCATTCCTTAGATCAAAGGTACTTTTAATTAGTAGCACACATTTCTTTTAAATTAGTAACTAAGAAAAAGAATACATTTTTTATATTTATGGATAGACTTAATTAATACATCAATAATCACTTAAACTTGTTAGTATATTTATTTAGACACTTGAACTATGGTCTATTATTCCACTTAAGCAACTGAACACGATAAAGTGTTCCTAATTATTTTAGATACTTCTGGTTCAACTTTTTTGACTAACGTTTGCGTGTGTTCTTAATTAATTGTATATTTGGTAATTAAGTTAATCACAGAATATGTCATTTCATTTTAATTATACGCATCAACCTTAATTGAATCATGCATGCTTAAGACTTTGTTACTTATTGAGGCTAATGCATGTAATTTAAGCAAGCAGCGACACTTTTTAAGGGATCAACTTCTCCATATAATTGACACTTGAGAATATTCCCAAAAGTTATTAAAGTGTCAAATAGAAACACTTTATCATATGTTCATGTGCTCAATTAGAACAAGCATGAGATTGTTTAAATAAAGTTGACATACATTTTTTCCCCAAAATTGCAAATTTTCATTTAGTTACTTTAGTATTATTAATATTATTACTTTAAAAAAAAAAATGGGGATAGGGAAAGGGAGGTGGGGAGGGGATTATAAGGTGGAAAATCAAACTTTTACCAATAAGATGGGAGTTTAGATAACCAACTATCTGAGCTATCTGAGCTAGCTACGTACTAAGATTCCCATTTAGTTATTTCTCTCATGGAGATTACTGAAAATATTATTGATTTCAGATAGCAGAAAATGAGAGGCTTCAGGAATTAAGCATGATGCCAGCAGCAGGAGGACAAGAGTACAGTGCAATACAGCAATATTTAGCAAGAAATATGCTTCAACTTAATATGATGGAAGGCCAAGGTGTCTCTTCTTATGATCCATTGCCTCCTCCTCATCATGACAAGAAGTCCCTTGAACTTCAGTAGAGTATGTACTCTTCACTTCCTCAAACAAAAATCTTTACATTATCACTATTAATTTTTTTAGTTCAAGTTATATACACTGTTAGTGTAATTAAGTAAAGTGTTGCACTATCAAGTCACATCTACATGTCATATCAAGTAACCTGTCTTATTTTCAAGATTACAAATATCACAATTCAAGTAGTATCATTTAGGTGACAAAGCCCACAGTTTGAGCCAAGAGTCTTTCAAAAACAGTTTCTCTACCTTTATGAGGTAGGGGTAAGATCTGCGTACACTCTACCCTCTCCAGATCCACTCGTGGAATTTCACCAGATATGTTCTTATTGTAGATAATGTAAAAGATTTACACCAATGGTATATATAACTTGAATATTTTTTTGTTGCAAAACTAAGCTCAAAATGTATGTTTGAACATACCTGTTTCTCCACTGATGATTCGTGTTTCTTTTGATGCAGATAAAATCCCCAGCAAGAGCTTTGAGAATTTTACAAAAGAAATTTAATGTCTACAACTTATGAAGTAATCTCTGATGATTGTATGTTACTTAAATTAGTACCTTATTTTGTGTATTTGAATTGTTTGTTTTGGGATTTGTAAGACATTTGAACTTATGATGAGCTTAGAAAGTATGTTGAAGTTCACTCTTTATAAGCCTTTGAGAAACTATGGCCCTCAAATCAAATAGAAATAGGCACTGATAAACCAGAAAATATGGCTTGTACGGAATGAGTACATATATACTTTCTGAAGATAATCGCGAATACAGAAAGAATTTATGAAACAAAAGTAACAAAATCAGTGAATTATCAGGAACAAAAGATGTTATAACGTGAAACGAAAGTGACAATATGGATGTTGATAATTCTGATGGAAAGTTAGGTAGAGTGAAAGCTCAGAGACAGGAAAAAATACTTTGCATCAAAGTACTGACATAAAATAAAAAAGACTATGGTTATGAGTTACCAATTGTCTTTAACAATTTTGCATAGCTCGAGTATGAATTTTCCTTCCTTGTACTTCTGCGATGGCTCAACAGCTTTTTCATACTTCCAGCCCAATACCTCGTTGCAATCCACACAGTATATGTCAGCAATTGTGTGAAGACCAGTTGTGAGACGTTTTTCTTCATTGGTTCCAACAACAACATTTCTCACATGAGCAAAAAGGAAAGCCTTGCCTTTCTTTGACTGAAAAACAGGTATTTATTTTTTCTACAGTTAATGGACAGAAACCAGACGATCACAGATAAAGTGCATGAAATCTAGTAACTATATATGGGCAGATGAAATCGTTCACCTGGAAGTTGGTAGAGATGATATCATCGTGAAATGAGACATGTCTTCGACATTTGTAGCAGCTGTAAGAGCGATGTTTGACTAATTCATCCATCCAACAAAACCGTAAGACAAAAGTTAATACTTTACACTAGGACAACAAGACACAAAGAATAAGCGGCCAAACTCAGAAGGAAATGAGAACGATCCAGAAATCTGTACTAGTTTAAACTTACAAGGCGACAACACAACCTCTGTAAATTTTTCTTTAAAGATTGATATTATTCAAAAGCTTTCCCTCTAGCTAGCAAAAGAACTCTAAAAAACTTGACTATACCAGCAAATGTCACATGCCAATGAAAACTTCCCTCAGTACCACAGTCTATAATATATTGCCAAATTACTCCGATTCATTTCTCAAAATTCAAGCTCCAAATAATTGAACGAACTATATATTATGCATGATATGAGTAATCTTAGAGTCTCATGAAGACAATAAGCAAGAAGGAACTTAAGAAGTACGTTGAGTTCCGTATTCATTAACAATTAATAAACAATCTGGCCCAAGTCGATAGAAATAGGCACTGATAGAAATCCAAGAAAGTATCATTTTCTAACCAACATATCTTCCTTTTAGAGTATGAAGAGGGTAGAAAAGATTGCAAAAGTAATCGAAGTTCTAGTTCTTCCAAAATCACGTCAACAACTAATAGAATAGACACTGACCTGTGAGCTCCTCAGTCTCTCTTTGAGCTTTCTCTAAGCTATCTTTCAATTCACGAATTTTGCTTTCTGCCCCTAACCGAGCAGTACGCTCCTCCTCCAACTGCTTTTCAAGACTATGCATGGTACTGTTCATCTTAGATTCAGCCTATCAAATATGTACAGATAGGTCCATAAAATGCTCAAGTGCACTATCAAGAAATAAGATGAACTACCTAATTCATAGACCATGGCCAAAAACTAGAATTAGTTATGAGTCAAATAATATTTATGTCATATAAGGAATTTCCCAAATTAAACTTTTAGCATTTACAAATTAAAAAAATCTAATATTCATGTCTGACAATACTTTTGAATGCAATTTACAAATAGATAAATTTCTTGATGAACAAAATTCAATTGATTTCATACCAAAATTTGCAAATTGGCTCTCACAAGAGACTGTTGAAAGTCGAAACTGACATCAGCTATCAATGTAGCTGGTGAAAATGATTTCTGCAATTAATGTCTCGCAGAACCGAGAACGTATTGTGCTAGAACAAAAGCAATTTAACAGTCTCACTTTTTTAGTCTGTTTCTCTCTGTGAAAACAGAAAATCATATCTTTCAGTGTTGTCCCACCGCTTATTAGACGTAGAATATCTTAAAAAGGAAAAAAAAAAGAGGCCAATCTAGCAACATGAAAGCATAAACTTAGGGAGCATAGAAAGTCGGCACAAGCTTGTTTCTTCAAACTATAATTCTCTGCATGCTAAACTTGCTCTAGCAAAATGCAGACACAAGTAACAATCTCAAACTTCTTTAATGATATATTTCAACTACGATGGAAACTAATGCATTCTAAACAAATTGATGATTATAGTTACAGGCTCAATCCAGAAATTTAGGATATGATAGCTGAAGTTTTATTTTAACACTGACAACTGATGTTTTCAAATGACAACTGAAGCAAAAGTGTGTCAACAGTGGTACCTACCATTTTAGTTATTCGCCTTTGTTGCTCCACGAAAGAGAACCTCTGCAGTTGTTCCTTCAACTCAGTTACCCCTTGCTTTAAATCTCCGAGCAAAGAATTAACCTCCACTGAGTCATTACGAAGCTTCATCTTCAATAAATGAGGAGATGAAAAGATAGGTTATTGCTCCCCTTCTCCACATTAAGAAAATCCAACAAATTACTTAATGTTGTATACATACCTTTACTTCCTCAAATAATTCACTCGTATATGGTTTTCCACCAGCCATTTGTACAACCATATTCACATGGAAAAGTAGTTCCCTCAATTGTTCAGCTTTCTTTGCTGGATCTTCAGTTTTATTGTCGAAAAACACTTGTCTATTCCCACACATCTTAAGAACTTCCTGCAATGGTAGGAAGAATTAATTTTGGAACGATCTACACATTCTTGAGCATGCAAAATAGTAACGGACAAATGGGAGTATTTTTAAATAAAAAACTATGACAATTCTCTAGTAGATTCATCCCACAAACTCGAAACACTTAGCTACAGAAGGAAAAATAATTGTCATGAGCCACAATAAAAAATTCTTCGTTTGCTGAATATAACCCATTGAAGATCAAGAAATCATCCAAAATTGGAACAAAATGAAGGAGCCTCTTAAGTAGACGAATGCTAAAACTCCTGTATATTAGTTAGTAGAATCAGTCAGCTTATTCCAAAGGATATGGTGCAAATACATTAAACAATAAATCTCTGCACGGGACTTTACCTTTAAATCATCGGGACAGGAATGATCTAAGTGATCATTCAAAGAGTCATCATCTTCGAGCTTATCCCCTCCAGTGTAGACCACAATCATGTAATCACTAATTTTGGTCCCAAAGAGCTTCTTAAAGTACTGGATAGCAGCCTGTTCTTCTTTTGAAAAGCTAGTTCGTACAGACAAAACAAAAAGAACAGCGTGGACACCATCATCGGCCAAATCAATGCATCTACCAATTTCATTTCCAACTAATCCAGATTCAGCATTAAAATCAAATCCTGCATTTTCCACAAGGCACAGACTAAGCTATCAGTGACTTTACAGATTATCTGACGGATATAAGAAATAGAGAAGCAAGATTCAGCAAATTCATGTTATCTATACTAGGGAATTTCCTATGATGGTATTCACTTTTCCCATATCCTAAAGACATTCTTTTTGCAAATGTAATGCACCATATGTTATCAAATTACTCTACTTATCCATCCATAGCTTGTTTCAAGTATGCTACAACAACAACAACAAACCCAGTGTCATTCCACAAGCAGGGGGGTTTGAGGAAGGTACGTACGTACACAGCCTTACTTTACCTTGTGAAGGTAGAGAGACTCTTTCAGATAGACCCTCGGCGTTTCAAGATATAATTGGAATTGTTAATCATACACACATTAAATAATTGACTCTACACTTCTCTTAGAATTAAATTGACTTCAAGATTCTAGTTAACACATAACACTAAAAAAAGGAGCTCAATTATAATTAACATAAAACAATTGACCGTACCAGGGGTATCGATGACATCAAGAATCTGTCCATCTTCTAATCGAGTCCTCTGAATCTCACAAGTTCTTGTAACAGCACCAAAGCAAGACCTCAACTGGAATGCATTTCTACCAAGAATGCTATTGCCTGTGGCACTTTTTCCTTCACCTATACACCCAATCATAAGTAGTGTCTGAGCTTCATTTGCAATAAACTCCCAATCATCACTGACTGAACTTCCTCCCATCTTATCTTATCGGATCAAATTACCTTAAGCAACAGGTCACAGTCAGGTTAACCATGAAACAGCTGAATTAAAGATCAACAACGAACAAAGTCTTTCTGATTGTTACATAAATCTATATAATGGTAACCCTTCAGATAAAAGATTCAAGCCATTGGAAGCAGAACAAAATGTCCACTTTTTAAGAAGGGATTTCACATGCATATATGCCAGTGCTAAAAACCTTTAAAAGTCAAACCCAAGACGATTAGTTCCTGGATGGGAAAACTAAGGTCAGGATCAGGTTTCGGCCAAACTCAATAACTTTGGCTCAAGTAGTGAATTTGTATTAAGAAATATATTAAATATGTACAAATTTTAAGTTTTGAACCCAGTTATTGACACTTGAAATCATAGTTCTAAAATTCAAAAACAATAAGGTTAAAATTTTGGCTCCGCTTGTGGTCTCATAGACTAAGATAGTATAATATCTACATTTTCTTGGTGGAAATCAGGTTTTAAGTCTATTAAATCTAAAAGTAAAGACAAGGTTAACAAGGGCATGAATATTCACTTATAATCAATATATTGAAGGGTTGGAATAAATGACAATGCAAGTAGTAAACAATCTTCGTTCGAAAAATGATACACATTATATAGTGTCTATAGTAATTTAATAATTACTTGATCGACAAAAGAACAAATATAAGGAATTCCTGATAATACAATGTCATATTTCACAGAATTACACCCACAAAAGCAAGATGATAGTAGAAATTTCTACACTATAATAAACAAGTAGAGAGCCAAATAAATGGCGTACAATTTTGCTAACCTAGAGAGAGTGGGGCTGCAGGAGATTGACTTAGGACGGCAGATAATCCCTTTATTAAGAAACGATTATTGGGCCACAACAAAACAAAAAAAAATAGGCCTGATTAGTGCGTTAAAATCTCCTGAGAAAATAACCAATTTTTAATACAAAAAATAATATTTAAATAAAATTATTTTAGCTGAAATATGGAACAATTCCAGCGTATGGTGTTAAGGTTGAATTGTTTTACAAGTGAAACTTGTGCGGAATTTCAAAATGTATATGTTCAAACTCAAGGAAAGATATATGGAATTTAAATTTGTAAAGATTCAAATTCTAATACTTTTATGAAGTTTGAAATCAATAGTAATGGCAGAATTTTGAAATAGATATTATTAATAAAATAATATTTTTATATATAAAAAACTTTATGATTGTACTAGGAAATTATATTTTAAAAGTCAGATTGGAACTCTAGCACATACTCACCTTGCATATTGAGCTGGAGTGTCACTTGATTAAATTTTTTTGAAATCTCAACAAATTGTGCTGGAATTTGACTCATTGGAGTTTCGAGGTTCAACATACCATATTAGTGTTTTTCGTGTTATCCTAATATTATTTCCACATTAAAGAATGTTTATATATGCTGAATAGTTTTCAGATGGTCATTAAAACTTAATTAACTGTCCTAGTGGATATTTGCCAATGTATCTCCCAAATATATGTTAAAATAGCATATTTATCTCTAGCAAATTAATGATAATTCTCATCCTATTTTCGTATGTGAAAAAAATATATATAATTCAAAAATTAAGAAAGAGCCATGATAAGTTCCAACTGTGACTTTCAAGTGGCCTAAAGGAAGGCAGAAAGACATCTTCATAAAATTGCAGATGAACGTTTTTGGTAAGCTACCCTTAAATATTTATGGGCGCTTATATTTCTTTATCATTATTTACATATGATTTAAGAAAATTTTCTCCATAGATCCTCCCCTGCTATCGTCTTAGTAGTTAGTATATACTACTTGGAGCTGCAACCTATTACTTACAAGTTCCATTTATTTTAGGAAATAAGGTTAGTAGATAGTTGTGTGTTGTCTTAGCGGGATCAGCTTGGTGCTTGTTACATGTTTCTCTTTGTATACCAGTAGCATTAGTACTAGTCTCACAGTTTCTTATCCTTCGATTTCTTTTACATCCTGTTGTTTCTTTGCTTTAGTTATCACATTCAGGGCCGACTCAACAACATTGGAGGCCTAAAGCCAAACTTAAGAGAGGGGCCCTAATATTTAATTTTTTTCATTATATATACTTTTATTTAAAATCTACTTTTTTAGCTATTTTAGATGCGAAGTCATTAGGTACTGTTTTATAATCAATTTGTTTTAATAATTCCTTTTCAAATGATAATATAGCTAATTCATTCAATCTCTAATGAGACATTGTTGATCTTAAAGAAGATTTAATCAATTTTAATTTCGAAAAAACTTCTTTCGGCTGAGACAACAATTACAGAAACTGTTAACATTATTCTATAAGCAATATGTGTATTTGAAAAAGAATCAAGTCTTTTTGTTTGATAGGGTATTTTCATTAGATCATTATCTTCTACTTGTATTATTTCCCTTAACACTTTTAATTTAAAAAATAAATCTAAACCATTAATAGCAGAATAATTATTACGTGTTAAAGAAAGTTCAAGGTTAAGACAATATTTTTTAAAAATATTCTCATCATCTAGTGATCTCAATATTTTACCACTAAGGGCCCGTTTGGCCATGCGATATGGTATCATGATATGAAATCATGATATGGTATCATGATACGGAATCATGAGATGAAATTGAAGGTTTGTTTGGACATGCGATATGGAATTTTTGTGTTGTATATTTTCTCATAAACATAAAAATCCCATAAGTTGTAAAACTATTAAAATAGCCCCAATTGTTTATTCAATCTTATCAAATAAACAAAAATTATAAAATCGCATAATAAATTATTACAAAGTTATTTGTTCTTCAGTTAAATAATTGTTTCATCTAACTTTAATTTAATTAAAAAAAATTGAACATAAATTGTACTTGATATGTTCATATCTCTCAACTACTCTTACAAATAACCTATAAAGTAGAAAACAAAATACATTAGTGAGTAAATATTAACTTAGAAGTTAAATGCACTAAGATAAAAATTAACAAACATCACTAACTTCTAACTATTTACAAGAAAAATCAATAGTTAAATATTATTGAATAACAAAATTTTAAAAAGTTACCACAAGTTTGAGTCAAAAACACTTCTAATAAAATTTAATCAAAAAAATTATAACTAGTCCACTTGACTAAATATTAATAACTAATTGATCAAATTTTCCTAAGTCCTCAATCAATTGGACTTGAATCCTTCAGTCATGTGAACGAACATTTTGCAAATACTAAGATTAAGAAAGTACGGCACCGCCAATGAAAATTGTCTTTTATCAATATTATGCTTAGTCATAAGATTAAGACGTTTTTTTTATTATGAAAAATCAAAAAAGTATTACTCCCTTTGTTCTCATTTATATTCATCAAATGAATTTCTACTTTATCATTTATATTCACCAAATTTAAAGTGATAATAAATTTTATATTGGTGAGAATAATAAATTTTAAAAAGTAATGATGTGATTATAAATTTTTATTTACATATGAAACAAATGGTTAGTAGATATAAATGTGGGGTTGTTTTAACAAAATATAAACTCATGGATCAATTATTGTATTAAAATATCTCAAATCATGATATGAAATCACATGGTGATTCCATATCATGGTTTTTGGAGAATATGATATCACCTCTCATGATATGGAATCATGAGATGAAATCAGCGTAAAATCGCATGTCCAAACGCTGATTTCATCTCACGATATCATATCGTGATATGATATCGCATGGCCAAACGCCTATTAAATAAGAAATCAAAAATATTTCCATATGCTTCAATTGGTTCAAATATATTTTGAAGTGAAAAAATAGTTTGATCTACTCTACATATATAAAGCAATTAACTCTAAAAGATTCTTCTAGGGACTTTGTGATTTCGCTATCAATATTTTCATCAAAGAGTTTCTTACGAAATTCAGGTTTATTTTCATCTCATATGCAATTTTTTTAGTAGAAATCATAACACTCACAGTACATATAATTTTTTTCTAAAATAAAATGTACAAGTAATTATTTTTAAAAAATGGGGGCCCCAAAATATATGGGGCCCCAAGCGATGGCTTTAGTGGCCTAGGGGTTAAGACGGCCCTGATCACATTATTTGATGTTTGCATTTTTTTTTTAGACCTCATGTATGAGGTCGATGCCTCGATTTGCTGGTGTTACATCTACCTGTGAGCTTCAAAGAACACAATTGCCAAATGGACCAATACTAAATGTGATTGATACGCCTGGTATGTATATTATAGCATAGCAATTTATTGTATGTAACTACAATGTGTGCTTGATTTAGCACATTTACATGTTTGCAACATCTTGTATATACTTATCATGGAAAGCTTTATCCTGTATTATAGTCAATTTATTTATTAAAAAAGTTGCTACTTTGCTCAAATATGTACATGATTTGATTATTTAACAACTCTGTATGACATTGTGGGAATTGCAGGGTGGTTTGATTTTTCCATTGATCTAGAAATTATTGGAAAAGAACTCGATAAGTGCATCGATTTGGCTAAAGATGGCATCCATGCTGTTCTTTTAGTTCTTTCCGTGAGAAGTCACTTTTCAAGAGAACAACAAGCAGCCGTCCAGAGTTTGAAACATTTCTTCGGTAACGATATTACTGACTACATGATTGTGGTATTCACTGGAAGATCATGATGTAACATTGGATGCTTACTTAGGCGCCGACTGCCCTGAACCATTGAATGTAAGGTTAATTACATGTAGATTTGATCTTATTAATGTATGTTACACAGGTAAATTATTTGGATTTTCGTTACAGAAAACTCTTGCAATTGCCAAAATCGACTGGTGCAGTTTGACGACAAGACTAAGGACGAAAATGAAAGACCTTCTTTTCCAAGTTAATTTGGTTGGGGAAAAGAATAGTTATAAACCATATACATACAATTTGTTCAAGGAATTGATGGTTTGAACTTATTTATCATTTACTAATTGTCTGGATTCTATTTAAACATTATTCCATTTTGTTTATCGAGTGGGATTAGATCCTTCGTTCTCATTTACAAGAAGGAGCTACAAATTTTCGTACTCAGAAGGCAAACGTTGATTCCTCAGCCGGATACTCTGAGGAAGACATAAAAGAGTTGAAGGGCCAAATGCAGAGGTCCCATGAGGAGCAAATTAGACAAATAACTGAAGCGGTATATACTTGTTATTGTTTATATATGAAATTATGTAGAGCATTGGCCTGTTTATGAAGCAATGATAACAAAAATTTTACCATCAACTTGATTAATAAATTCTAACAGTCAATGTTTTTCCATTGATGGGCCAATGTTTATGTATTGGACAGGTAAAATCTAAGCTGAAGGACACCAAACAAAATCTAGAAAAGCAATTAGAGTAGGAGCACGCTGCTAGGCGTGTGGCTGAACAAAAGGCGAAAAAAGCTCATAAGAAATTCAAGGATGAGAATCGAAAGCTAAAAGATCTCCTTGAGAGGTCTCGAAAGGAGACTAAGGAGGTCCGAGATAGGATGGTGCAAAACTGCAACATTTTGGAAGTAAAGATATGGGGAATGTGTATGTTTTGGAAGTACTTTAGCTAAATTTGTTTTGAGGTTATGTTTGCACTCTCTTTGATTTCATCCTCTTCCATTTTGTGAATAAGACTGTTACTAAGGGAAGGGCTTCCAGTACATATCTTTAAAAAGTTGTTTTTGACTTTATACATGATCTATGCACAATATAATTTTTCGACAAAGAGCATTTGAGTGACCACTTTTGGGCCAAAGTAGCTGGATGTGCATTTTCATTTGGCTTGTGCCTATGAGTTCTTTGATTATTGCAGAGCCAATTGCCCAATATCTACTGGTGTCCCGGTAATTATATCATAATGGCATTTTTAACATTAGATAAGTATGTTCAATATTAAAAGAAAATTTAGTCTACTTTTTATTAAATAAGAATAATTTAGTAAATTATATTTTGTTTTATTTTTTTTAAAATAATTTGAATCGGTAAAAACGATAATTAAAATGGAAGAAGTTTTGTACTCCAGTTGACAAAAATAAAATACTCTAGTAAAAGGAAGATTTATAAAAAGTATATTTAATGATAATTAAATTATTATGGTTAATTAATTATGGCTGAGTGAAGGAGAGTGATGATGAGGCCTAAAGTGCGACTTTCAAGTGGAAATGAAACGTTTTTGGAAAATGTAAAGGCAGGGGGAAAACCCTTCAAGTGTCTTTTCATCAAGTACAGGCTGCTCGTTACCCAAGAAAGGCTTTATTTATCTTAGTTACTCTCAAGTCTCAACATATCTTCTTCACTCTTTCTTTAAGCTTCAACTGCAGACTATTTTCCTAAGAGCAGCAAAAAAGGTATTAATTAAGTATTATACTATTTCCTCTTACTGCTTCAGAAATATGATGTGATGATTTTTTTTTCCCTTCAAAATCATATAGTCATAGTAATAAATATTTGTGTTATTTTAACACTATAGACTATCCATATCTTGCATTATACTTAATTAGTACTAGTTCCATAGTATATACTCTGTCATCTTAATATGTACTACTCAATTTTTAGTTTTTGGTAAGTCGGCAGTAAATATTGTTCAAAGAAAGTCGGCATGAGTAAATATTGTTCAAAGACTCCGGGGGTAAGAGGTTAGGGTGTGTTGTGAATGCTACTCGTTGTCTCAATTTTCATTAGGAAAATCATTTTCTTCATTTTTAGTAACATATTTTGATCAACTAACATGCAAATATATTCTTCCATAGTCCATACCAAACACAAACTAACAGTGAAAGCCTCTACCTTTCTGTTGGTTATTGTATTTCTCTAATATCATGAATTTTTTCTTGTTTAGTATTAGTATTAAGTTATATGTATCATTAGTGTAAGAAGCTTTTTTTTGGATGACTTGATAGTGTACTGGCGACATATATGACTTGATCCAACATCATATTAACCCTGATTTGAGCCCTTTTTATTTTAGGTGATTTGATTCAGCAAGATAAGATGGGTGGAAGTGCAATTTTAAGTGAGGATTGGGAATTCACCAACAATGAAGCTCGGACAGTGGTTCTAATTGGACGTACTGGTGATGGAAAGAGTTCGACTGGCAATAGCATTCTTGGGAAAAAGATATTTAGGTCAATACCTCAATCTGCTGGAGTTACAGCTACTTGTGAGGTTCAAAGTACCCAATTGCCAAATGGACAAATACTAGATGTGATCGACACGCCTGGTACATATACATACCAAATCTATTTATGTGTTTGATTATTACAACTCATGGAAAACTTTTATGTTTTAGTTTTTTTTTATAGAAAAAAATTTGATACTTCTTTGTGACATCGATTATTGGAAGTTAAGATTGTGGGAATTGCAGGTTTGTTTGATTTTTCAGATGATACAGAAATGATTGGAAATGAAATTGTTAAGTGCATTGATTTGGCTAAAGATGGCCTTCATGCTGTTCTATTAGTTCTTTCTGTAAGAGGTCGCTTTTCAAGAGAACATCAAGCAGCTATCGAGAGTTTTCAACATTTTTTTGGTAACAAAATTAGTGACTACATGATTGTGGTATTCACTGGTGGAGATGATCTTGAAGACCAAGATGTGACTTTGGATGCTTACTTAGGCACCGACTGCCCTGAGCCTTTGCAGGTAAAATCACATCATGTAGAAATCTTATAATGTCTAAAGGCTTATTTTTGTTCCGTAGATAAATTATTTGGATTGTCATTACAGGAAGTGCTTGCTATATGTCAAAATAGGGTAGTGCTTTTCGACAATAGGACTAAAGACCCAAACAAGAAAGCAGATCAACTAAAAGAGCTTCTTGAACAAGTGAATTTAGTTGTGGAAAAGAATGGTGGAAAACCATATACGAACGATTTGTTCAAGGAATTCAAGGTTTGATCTTAACTACCACTTAATAATTAGTTCGATTCCATTTGACATTATAGAATTGAATGGTTTAGAACCTTTTGTTGTCATCTTCGATCTCATTTAACGAGCTTTAAATCAGAAGGAAAAGGTTGATTCTTCATTAGGACATTCTAAGGAAGACATAGATGGATTGAAGGACCAAGTGCAGAGATCTCATGAAGAGCAAATTAGACGAATTACTGAAATGGTAATTGTGATATCATTGTTAAGCTCCCTTTGCTTTCGTTACTAGAAAGAATTTCAAAATACATCGTGGTTATGGACCTAACAATAACAAAAACTATGCCTCAACTTAAACAAATTTTGGCAGTCCATGTTGTACCGTTTTATGGAACAATGTTTATGTTTTTGACAGGTAGAGTCGAAGCTCAATGAGACCATACAAAGGCTAGATAAGCAATTAGAGGAGGAACGTTCTGCTAGGCTTGCGGCTGAACAAAATGCTAAAGAAGCTCAAGAGAAATCAGAGAATGAGAGTCGTGAGCTGAAAGATCAACTTGAGAAGCGATTAGAGGAGGAACGTTCTGCTAGGCTTGCGGCTGAACAAAATGCTAAAGAAGCTCAAGAGAAATCAGAGAATGAGAGTCGTGACCTGAAAGATCAACTTGAGAAGCAATTAGAGGAGGAAAGTTCTGCTAGGCTTGCGGCTGAACAAAATGCTAAAGAAGCTCAAGAGGAATCAGAGAACAAGAGTCGTGAGCTGAAAAATCAACTTGAGAGCGCCCGTAGAGAAATTAATGAACTCCGTGATCGGTGCAATATTTTGTAAGTTAAGATATGGGCAGTGTCAAATGTGTATGTTTTGAAGGTTCCATAACTAGCTTATGTTTGGACTCCTATTTTGCATTTTGTGAAACTGACAATATGTTGCTGGATGTTATTTCATTTCGTTTATTTAGTACCTTTCTGCTCTTGGATTATATTGTTTGTCAAAGAGATGGATTATATGTACTGAACTTTCAACATATATATATATATATTGCTTCTTTTCATCTCTACTCAACTAAGTTTGTACAAAGAGGGTTATTGGGAGAGTGAAAATGTAGCATGACATGTATTTGCTTTATTTTTTCATATAACATCTCTCTAACAAACATTGTTACTTTCATGGATCTTGATATGCTCATGTTCCATAGTCTAATATGATCTTATATTACTAAAATATGTAGTATGTGTTTTTATTTACCAAACATGACTAAATTTTACGTTGGCATAACGTTTTACAAAGTATTTAGACACATAATGAATCTTAAAGTACTATTTTCGATCTCTTTAATCAAATCAACCTACACTAGGATCACTCATATAAATATGTACTTGAAAAAAATGAAGAAATGGTTCGAAAAGACAAGGTTAAAAGTGTTGTAAAATGATAAAATACCCTTTCATACCGAGAGGAATAGCTAGTAACGTAGTACTTGAAGTTCTCCTTGAATTGCTTTTCTAGTCTTTGTATTGGAGGTTGAAGCAAACAAGTCTTCAGCAAGGGTAATTTTGTAAAAAAAGTAAATTAGCTAAATCAATTTTTTAAAAAAATTTATATTTATTTTATGATGATAATCAATATAAAAAAGATTTTGTGTGATTTGAGGAATTACTTATTGTGAAGAGTTATGTAATTGATCTCTAATAAAGCTATTTAACATAAAAAAAAAAATAGAAATCCTAAAACTTGAATGAGGGAGGAAATCTTCTTTTTTATAGCTAAATCAAGTTTTTTTTAATTTATGAGTATTTATTATGCAGATAATCAATATAAATAAGATTTTATGTGATTTGAGGAATTATTTATTGTGAAGAGTTATTATTGTAATTGATCTCTAATAGAAATATTTAAGGCAAAATTATAGAAATCCAAAAACTTGAATGAGAGAGAAAAAAAGAAGAAGCAAGAAGTGAAGTTGAAAAAATCAGTCGTTCACATAAAAACAAAGCGTGGCTATTATTAAAGGACAAAATAAATATTAAAAATTCAAATAAAAGTGGTCTATTTATAGATTGTCAAGGGCCAGGCTGCTCTGTAACCTAGAAAAGTTTATTTACTACACGTATCTTCTTTAGTCTCTCAATTTCTCCAAAAAATTCAACTGCAGTTTTTTTTTCTGAAGAGCAGCAGAAAAGGTATTAAGCTATTTTTTCTTTTCGTTTTTGGGTAAAAAAATACACTATTTCCTCTTACTTCTTCATAGTACTTATTTTTATATTTTTACTTCCCGTTTCTTGATTAATAAATATGTTTAACATGCATGGTTTCAAGAATATGATCTACTGAGTTATGTTCTATGCTCTGCATCTTATTACAATGTACATATTTGTGTTTTTTTTAACACCACACCACAACTAGCCTTATAGTACTTCTAGACTAGGTTGCTTGGACTCTTCAAAGATGTCATTGATGATCGAGTGTGTGACATATCCTTTAAAATAGTGTATTTTTGAAGAATCCAACGCAAGTGCTCCAATATTTTTGGAGAGTCTGAGAAACTTAGCTTCTGGCTAGTTCCGTACTTTTAGTATGTATTACTTGAAATTGCAGCCTATTACTTATATGCTGTAAATCCATTATATAGATTTTACAGTAGCCCTTCTTGCAAAAAGATTTTTACTTTCACAAAAATAAAATTAAGTGATTTTCTTTTCTTATTTTTTATGTTTGGTAAGTAGGCACGCAGAAAATATTATATCGAAAGCATGTACATAATCTATTCAAACACTATGGGGTGAGGGCGGAGGTAGGGTGTTGAGGATGAGGGCTATGGAGGGTGTGGATGAGCTGTGTTGGGAGGGGAGAAAAAAAATTAGTGTGGAATGCAATATGTATTTTTAGCGACAATCAACACTCTTTATATATATCCTTAAAGCCTTTAACAACATTGAATTTAATGATACTTAACTAATGCCGGTAAAGACTTTAGCACTCCTCTAAAAGTTGTTCCTCTATTTTTCTGATGGTTGATTTTTCGCCTTTTATTGTATTTCTTTAGCATCATTAATGCCTTTTAGTATCAGGTTAACTTTATATGTTATAGCAGATAACTCGTGTAATCGAGGTATATATATAATTAGATATCTCTTTTTGAATGACTTGATGAGCCCTTTGGTTTTTGGCAATTTGATTTATCAGTAAGATAAGATGGGCGGATGTGGAACATCAATTGATGGTTGGGAATTTGATAAAACTGAAGCTCGAACACTAGTTTTAATTGGATGCGCTGGAGATGGTAAGAGTTCGACAGGAAATAGCATTGTTGGAAGAAATGTATTCAGGTCGATGCCTCATTCTGCTGGTGTAACATCTACTTGTGAGCATCAAAGAACTAATCTGCCAAATGACCAAATACTACATGTGATTGACACGCCTGGTACGTAGAGCAATTTTCCCCTTTTATTAAATCAAGGGAACTAAAATGTGCATACAGGGGAAGTCCCTAATACAGAGTAAATTCTCATAACTAGAGTTACTGATAGTTAATAAGATTGTGGGAATTGCGCGCAGGACTGTTTGATTTTTCAGCTGCTCCAGAAGTTGTTAGGAATGAATTTCTTAGATGTGTTGATTTGGCTGAAGATGGCATCCATGCTGTTCTTTTAGTTCTTTCTGTAAGAAATCGCTTTTCAAAAGAACAACAAGCAGCTGTCCAGAGTTTTCAAGAGTTCTTCGGTGGAAAAATCAGTGACTATATGATTGTGGTATTCACTGGTGGAGATGATCTTGAAGATCATGATGTGACTTTGGATGATTACTTAGGTTCCGACTGCCCTGAGCCGTTGAAGGTAAGATTATGTTACATGTAGAGATTTTATAAAATCATGTCTTTATTACCTTTTAGAAGATGCATTCATCTATTCAAAGGCTTTTATCTCGATCTATCAGAGAATATGTATTATGATTGTTCCACTGATAAATTATTTGTATTGTCGTTACAGGAAACTCTTGCTATGTGTGAAAATAGGGTTGTGCTTTTTGACAACAAGACTCAAAACCAAATTAAGAGAGCTGAGCAATTAAGAGAGCTTCTTTTCGAAGTTAACTTGGTTGTGGAAGAGAATGATGGAAAGCCTTATACCAACAATTTGTTCAAGAAATTTAAGGTTTTACCTTACTTACAGTTACTAATTTGTTCAATTCCATTTAGCATTATTCCTTTTTAACTCGTCAAGTGACGTTAAAACCTTTGTTATCATCTCCTCGATCCCATTTACAGGAAGGAACGATGAATTTTCATGATCAGAAGGCAAATGTTGAGCAAGACATAAAAGAATTGAAGGACCAAATGCAGAGATCTCATGAGGAGCAATTTAGTCGTATAACTGAAATGGTAATTGTAACTTTGTTATTATTACATCCCCTTTTGCTTACATTATGTGCCTTTTGGCCTGTTTATGGATCAACAATAACAAAAACACACGCCATAGTCCATATGTGTTGTTCCATTTTATGGACCAATGTTTATGTGTTTGACAGGTAGAATCGAAGCTCGAGGAGAAAATGCAGAGGCTAGAAAAGCAACTAAAGATGGATCGTGCTGCTCGGGTTGCTGCTGAACAAAAGGCTAAAAAAGATCAGAAGAAATCAAAGAATGAGAATCGTAAGCTGAATGATCTCCTTGAGAGTTCGATGGTTCTTGATAAAGCATTTTCGTTTCTTTTGTGTTTATGTGTGTTTGTGTTAATTTATTGGTTTTTGAAATAGTAGTTAGCGCTTTACTCTCCATTCAACTTTCAACATACTTATAGAACACCAAATTTTTGGCCTGGAGAATTACTTTTGTCATTTCAAACACAATTTGTGTTATAAAATTGATTCAATTGATCTTGTTCATCTTCTACTCAACTAAGTTTGTATGTCCCAAACACTATGTGGATAGTTTGGTAGCTAATTTGGAGGTGTGTTATGCTGGTATAATTCAATTCTCGCATAAGTAACACTATGTTTGTTAGCATGCTGGGAGGTAAGTTATTGATGGTATGAAATCAATAGTGTTTGATTTGCAATTTATAAATTCAGTTAACTGACACTTCCTTCATTTCAATTTGTTTGTTTTACTTTTCTTTTTAGTCCATTTAAAAAAGGTCTTTTTATACAATTTTGACAAGTTTTTAATTATAACTTTGTACATAACATGATTAAGGCCACAAATTTAATAGACATTTTAGTACATTTGATATATCTCTAGTTTATGACCACAAGATTTGAAAGTGTTTATTACTTTCTTAAATTCCATATAAGTTAAAGTAGGGCAATAAATTCAAATAGAGGAAGTACATGTATAAGTTATGAAGAAATTTATTTATCATTTTATGTAGGATAATAAGTGGAATAATAAATACACGAATAATTAAATTTTGGATAAAATAATAAATAAATTGTCTCATAACTAATGTATTTGTTACTAATATCTGCATAATTCGATCTAGCTTTAAAACGACCCGAGTGTTTGGAGAATGATTATCAAAATGTACAAGGTATTAAACTTTCTTTCACAATAAGGTTCAAGTGTTTAGGGATGGCAGTGGGGAGGGGGGAATGCGGGGTGAGGCTGGTTTAAGGCTATGCGGGCAGAACGGGTGAAAGATTGTGTGGGGCGGGCTACGGGTTTATGTAATTTTGTGTAGGTTTAAACTTAATTTTAATTTTTTACATGTTATAAGAGTGATAGAGCATTATTTATTAAAATAATTTCTCTAAAGCTACTAAAATATTCAAGATTGTAAATGAAAATGGTTCAATAAAAAATAATTTAATTTCTTACATGTTTCTCAATTGGCCTCAAAAAACTAAAATTGTAAGTCACTATCCTATTAAATTAATACAACTTAATGAATGAATGAATTTATTTTTATGAATTTTATTTTTAGTATTAAACGTAACTAGAAAAAAAAAATCATACGGAGCAGGTCTATGCGGGGCAGGTTAAAAAAAAAAAAGTTATGCAGAACGGATTAAAATTTTTACGGATTAAGCTCAACCCGCACCGCCCTATTGCCATCCCAACAAGTGTTACCATATGTTCATATTCTTAATTGTGAAAGTCAACTGCATTAATGTGATTTGTCTTTATTTATTTGACATATGAAATAAGTTGAAATCTTAAATAAGTTTATTAATCAAGGAATTAAAGTTTGGTAATTTAAATTAATCGTTTGACATTTGTTATTTTAATTTTGGGAGTTAAATATGGTTTTAATGAAAGAATTCAAAAGTTAATTAAGGAATGCAATTATGACCTTTTAGTGAAATTAATTATACTAATTTTTATTTTTTTATGATAAAAATACAATCACAAAAGATATATTTTCATCATAGGAAGGTTCATTGACTTATTATTTATGTGGTTACTATTGTTCTTAAGTCAAATATTTACTTTGGAACACCTATCTTAGTAAAGGTTTTTATTGAAGAAAAACATGAGGCGTAACTTATGTAATCACTATGATATTTAATATCAAAATAATATGATTAATTTGTATGAGTTAGTGTTGAAAGTAGCCATTTTTTTAATGTCATTTATGTAATTACTATGACACATTTTGCCATCATTTAAACCATTAAGACTTAAATATTACTCCCTCTATCCCTAATTACTTGTCCACTTTTAAATTGACACACCTATTAAGAAATCAATTAACGACATAGTGAGTTTACCATTTTACCCCTATTAATTATGAAGTGGATGAAAACTTTTACATTTTTCAAAGTAATTAGTCATTTAATTGAGGGTATAATAGGTAAAAAAAATTGTCCTTTCTTGATTTGTCAAAATGGACAAGTAATTAGGGACAACTATAAAAGAAAAAGTGGACAAGTAATTAGGGACAAACGGAGTATAATCACTATCACACGTTTTACATTAATTAATAATCACTACTCTATAATTCACTCCATGCAAGAATTTTTCTCTGTATATATATAATAAAAAAAAAGTAGATGTTGGTGCTAAGTGGAAAAATATCATGGTTTGTCACCTTTGTTTCTAAGATTCTTAATGATTTTTTTGTGTCAAATCTAATGGTTAAATTAATATTGATCAATAGTTAATAGTCGACAAGTCAATATTTTAATGATTCTATAACGATTTATCATGTCTACAAATCGATAACTGATAAATCAAATTGATAAACTTTAAAATCGAACCAAAACAAACACCGCCTAATTCAAATCATGTAAGGTTAAAAGTTCAAAACAAAACAAAAATATTCGAAGGAGCATCCAACAAAATATCCAAATAAGAACTATAATACTATTCAAATTTATATTTATAAAAATGTACTATATAACATGATTTTTACTAAGAAAGGATGGTTTTGTCATTTGTGTTTTCCCCTTTATATTTTTAGGATGGTAAAGCTCTTTTTTGGCTACTATTTAGAGACAAAAAAGGAACTTCCCAAAAAAAAAGAGAAGACAAAAAGGAGAAAAAAAGTCTTAAATAACAGCAAATATTTCTACTGATATATCAGAATGGTAAATATTCCCTAAAATAAAAACCAAAATTTGCAGTCAGAGTTACCATAGAAATTCACAAACCAAATTTCAACATCACAGAGATAAAAGCAAATCAGAAGTAGAAACTCGAAAATGACAGAAAGAGAAGAAGAAAATAATGAAGCATTGAATTCGTTTGAATATTTTAGTTGTTTTTACAGATTTTTTCTCAACGATCAAATGAATTAAAAACCCCACCTTCCTTCCACTTCCACCTACTGTTACCTCTAAAACGCTGTCGTTTTTCAAGTACACCTGCTACTCCATTTACAGTGCCGATTTTACAGGTTTTCTGCTTCCTCTAGACAAAATAGTTTCTGGGTCTTGTGGAATTTTGTGGAATTTCAAGCTTTCACTGTCTAGCTTATCTGGGTTTTGTTCAAAATTGGATTTTGAGAAATGGGTAATACTATGTGCATGACGAAGAAGGAGATAAGAGAAGCTGGGAAAAATGGAATTGGGTCGAGGAGTAGGAGGATGGAGAGATCAAAGAGGAGGTCATTATTGGAAGAGGAGTTGCTTCACAGGCAAGCTTTGTCTATGGCAATTCAGCAGCATCAGTTGTCTCAAAGATTTGATGGGTCTATTTCTAGGCGTGTCGGATCCACTAGCTCTCGCCGTCGCAATGATTTGACAGACCAGCTTACCAATTCCAAACAGGTAGTAATTATAGTAGAACCCTAATTTTATTTCTATTAATTTAATTATTCTGAGTCCCTTTTCCTTTACTTTATTATATATTCGACTAAGACATTGAATTCTATAATGGGTCTGAGTGGAAAGTTTCTTTGGAGACGCAGAATGCAGAAAAGTAACATCTTTATTTATTTTTAGTTTGGTGGTGGATATGAATATGATAGTTTTCTTAAAGATTCGTGATACTGCTGAAGTGCTCCTGAAAAGGAAATAAGTCAAAAGGTACTTTTGTTGCAAAAAAAGTGAAAAGTTTTGATCCCCCTCCCCCTTTTGGCCTTTTCAACCCATTTGGTTTATTCAGCTAAGATTCATTATTAGACTGTTGATTATAGACTTATAATACGAGTCTTTTGCTTTTCGGGTTTGGATGAAATATGTTTTGGGAAATTAACAGGGTTGGACGGAAAAGAACAGTAAATAGATCCACCCTTCTCCTTTGTGATTTTTTTCTTGTTTTTGGTTATTGTGGAATATTGCCAAAGTGATTTTGAATCCCTTATTTAGGCCCTCCCCTTTGTTTGGCGATATCTTGTGGCTGCAATCATATTTGTGGGAAGTATACCTTTGGACTTCTCACTAGCTTTAAGTACTCATGCTTTGGATGTAGAGTGATATAACACGGAAAGGAAGCTATTTGTTTAAATATTTAGCTCAAGCTAAATAACAGAGTGATTGAAAAAGTTTAAATCCATCTAAGTGACTGTTAATTGCCTAATCAGTGGAAGTATTTTGAAAAGAAAGATGTAGAAATTAAAAGGTTGCCGGTAACATGCTACTTAATGAAGAAAAGGAGACACTGGAAATCCAATAACCATTAATATCTTTTTGGCTAACTCTAGAAAATTTTCATGTGGCACTGCAATTACCTTACGAAATTTATGCTGTAAAGTTACCAGAATTTTTGGAGAACATCAAAACAAAGAAAATTGTTTTGATACATGGAGAAGGATTTGGAGCTTGGTGTTGGTACAAAACTATTGCTCTGTTGGAGGAAACAGGATTGGTCCCCACAGCCTTAGATCTCACTGGATCTGGCATTGATTTGACAAATACTAATAATGTTACATCTCTAGAGGCATACTCAAAACCATTAATTGATTATCTGGAGAACTTGCCAGAGGATGAAAAGGTAAGATAGATTTGGTTTAAGTTTCAAGTCCTTTTTCGTTTATGAATTCAAGCAAAAATGATTTCATATATATTCTGGAAACATTATGCATATACCTCTTTAGGTAATTTTGGTCGGTCACAGTGCTGGAGGTGCTTGTGTTTCCTATGCCTTAGAGCATTTCCCAACTAAAATTGCAAAAGCAGTATTTCTTTGTGCCACGATGATATCTGATGGTCAGAGACCTTTTGATGTGTTCGCTGAAGAGGTACGCATCCCTTATTTTCTATATATTTCATAATAATTACCAAGGATGGTTACCAACCATTTATTCTGACTTCGATTGGGAAACCTGTTGTATTATTTAATAGTTGCACTTTTTAAACTGCATGTTTTAAAAGTACTTTGTTTAGCAGCAGAGTTGCTCCTGGTATTTCATGAACATTGTTTATGGTCATGCCTTCAGAAAGCACTGTTTATGTTATGATGTCATCTTGTATGATATTCTTGTTTTGTCATATGGAGTGGTTGAGGTTAAGATTTTTTTCAAGAGAAAAATATATGAATGTGTGAGGCACATGATCCAGAAATAGGAGGTCAAAAAACTGTCATTTGAAACTTCTGTAGTTCTTAAGCATGACAAAAATAGCACCAAACTGCATAGCAAGTAATTGAATGCAAATTCCCAATCTCTGGTCAGGTAGGTACAATAGGAATTTTGCTAGTTCCAGAACATCTGACCCAATTTATATACATTAATTAACAAAAGTAGGGGCTTGTACATAGATTGGAGCTCAAAAGGTAAAAATAAGACTAAGTACAATAAGGGGTGATGTCTGATAGTGACTGCTGCCTCATCAGTTCAGTCCACATCCCAAATCAGCATTCTACTGCCTGGCTGGTTAATATGCTTGCATATATATTTGAAATCTTATTGCATTATAATCTGCTGAGGATGGAAATGAGTGACGACCTCACTGTAGACTGATGTAGGAATTGTATTGAGTTTTGAATTGAGTCATCTAAGTTCAATTAACCATGCCACAATGTTCTTCATGCATGATTCATGATGTTTAAAGACGTTGCAGATGTATATTGCAAAATTACTGGTGGATTAGGTGTCATTCATTATAACCTATCAATTTGAGCTCATTAAGGATTTGTTTGGTCTCAAAAATAGATCTGCTGCTGAAAGTTTCTTCTAGTGTCAATAATTCTTTTTTATCTCCTCTCCAATTTGATATTTTCATGTTGATAATATTGCAGCTTGGGTCCGCAGAGCTTTTCACCCAGGAGTCTAAGTTTTTAACTTATGGGAATGGTAAAGACAAGCCTGCCACTGGCATCATGTTCGAGAAGGAGCAAATGCATGGGCTATATTTCAATCAGTCTCCTACAAAGGTACTTCCTTTATACAAGTTGCAAGGAGTCATAATTGATATATATAACTTTTATACCCAAAATCTCAACATTATTGGTAAATAATTGATTTATAAAATCTTAATAACTCATTCATCGAGATAATAATTTAAATGCTAAAGATGTGTGGAAATGTGCTTTGTAGTGCATTGTTCTATGCTGTTTGAATTGAAACTACTGTAGAAACTAGAAATGACGACCGAAAAATACAGAGGCATCACTGCTCGGTCAAAACAAATGCAGCTTCTTTTTTTTTGTGTGTGTGTGTGTGGTAGTGGGAGCAGCAGTATGATGAAAAATTTCTCATGATGGCATGTTTGTCATGTCATATACATCGCCTAAAGGTAATAGGCAGCATAATGGAACAACAATATAAATCTCAGTTCTGGTTGCACTTATACAAGAATTTGGATCATGTTTTTTGAGTTAACAAGTTCAGTAGAAAGTAATGTTGGGCCTGTACCTGCTTTGAATTCACAGAACAACTCAACACTTTTAGAATTGGAAATGATTATTTACACCGCAACTTAAAAAAGAAGAAGATGAACAGTAAAACCTCCATATACACCAAATTAAGCAAATCAAAGTGTAGAAGATGGAGGATGAAAGGTTTTTGGAGCTCGGCTAGTATTTTCATTGTTGTACTAGAGTAGTGAAAACACTTCAACCAGCTCAAAGTAAAATACATAAATCTGAAAAGGGGCTTATGTTTCTTAATTTTACTGGGAGAATATGCTTACACTACGGATCTTGATCATTGACTTCTTGTGGTAACATAGAGAAGTTGACTACAGTGGATCAGAATCGATCTGGTTTCCTTCGGAGTTTGGTGTAAATCATGATTTCAACATTTAATTATAACCAATTTCAGAAGTTAAGTTATTGCCAAAGAAGCACCCAAGGGTGTGGCCTAGTGGTCATTGAAGTAGAGGAGGTAAACCAAGAGGTCTCTGGTTCAAATCCCAAACAGAGCGAAAAACATTAGGAGATATCTTTCCATCCTCCTTGGTGGCAGAGTTATCCAGTACCAAGGAATCCTTGTGCGTATTTTACTGTCTATCTATATGTATTCAGATCATTTTCCAAGAAGTTAGAGAATGTAAATAGAAGGTTTCACGAAAATAAATCATTAACACACTATATAATGATTGCAGGATGTTGCTTTAGCAATGGTTTCTATGAGACCTATTCCTCTTGGTCCGATGATGGACAAGCTGTCACTGACACCTGAAAAGTATGGAACTAGTCGTAGATTTTATATCCAGACATTGGATGATCATGCTCTTTCACCAGATGTCCAAGAAAAGCTTGTGAGAGTAAACCCTCCTGAAGGAGTTTTCAAGATCAAAGGCAGTGACCATTCTCCATTCTTCTCGAAGCCACAGTCACTGCATAAGATTTTGGTTGAAATTGCGCAGATTCCATGATGTTAATTTCTCTGGTGGAGTTTCTTTCATAGCGAGAGTGGCTTCATTGATTCTTATGGAGGCTGTAGAATCCATGAGGTTGTTGGTTGTACAGAAGAGGAGAATGACTCAGCTTGTTTTATATCCATTTTCATATTTTATTTCACTTTTAACATTTTAGGCATTGGTTCATAGTTGAAGTATTCTTCTTGTAGAGTTACAGCTAAGATAGCAATTTGACTTGAAATAATGCTCATGTAATTCCACCTGTGGTAGCACTTTCTTCTCTCTATTGTTGATTTATTTCTCAAGATACATTTGTGTTCATAAATTATCTTAGTAGCTCAATTCATTGCCTACATGAACTTTCACCTCATTGAGCTCCATGGTGATTCAAACTCACAATCTTTGGATTGGAAGTGAGAGGTGTTTATTATCTGAGCAACTCCCTCTTTTGTTGAAAGCATCAACATTAACATGATGAAGTTATTATCGTTTGAGTTTTATATTGTGTGTCAGCTATGTTTCTAATGAACTTCTTGCGGCCCTTAGCTCTGCACATGGTGTAACAACCTTTGATCGAATGGAGTCTTTTCAAGTTCTCAACTCGTGCATATATGACTGATTTAGCCAAGACAAAGGATACTTTTATTTTAAGATTTTCTTTGTTATTACAACACCAATAATTATGCTTAAAGTCCAAGTTAATCGAGGTTAGTAATATGAAATATCTGTACGGGGCAGAAACTGTTTGAACATCTGACATATGAAGAGTTGAATGAAGATTTTATTATTATTGTCTCGCTTTAATCTGTTAAAATAATAATAATAATATTCAACAACTAATAATCAAATCTTAAGAGTTAAATTAAGATATATACATGTCTTTAACCTCATATAAATCCAAATTATAACGTTTTTTTTTTTCGGAAAACAATATCATTATCTAGTTCTAACCCACGTGAACTCGTTTATCGTTATCAGTATTATTGATTATTGCTCCATTGTTTTGAGAGTTTGTCTCAGTCCCATTATTATTAAAAACAAAGTTTAGCATCATTAATGAACAGTATTATTCCATTAATTAGGGCAAGACAAAATTTATAGTGCCCTTTACCACCACCTTCCCATATTGTTGACTCTCATTTCCCACTATATCTGCACTTCCATGGCAACAGTTGCTGTTCAGTCCTTTTTCTCTGCTCCACTGCAAATTCCCAAAATAACACAGGTCTGTTTTTCTTTTAAAAATACCCTTTTGGTTTCTCCATCCAAACATGATATTTTCTTTATTCTTGATTTTTTTTTGGTAAAAACAGTTCAAGATTGGAATTTGTCAGCTGAAAGTTACCACAGAGAAGAGTGCAAACATCTTCAATGCTCATAGTCTGATTCAAGCTGCTGCAGAACAAGGTGCAAGCCTCATACTTTTGCCTGTGAGTAGCCTTTTCCTTCACTAAACTCTTTTTAATTTTAGCTTTAAAGGGTGTGTTCCGTTTGAAGGAGAATGTTTTTTTCAGGAAAAAAAAAGGGATTTTTACTTAATTTTTTAGCCTAGAAGTATTTGTATATAATTTAGAGAAATACGGTGAGGACACGGGGGCATGGGTGGTGAGGATGGAGGTGAAGATGAGTTGAGTTGGAGGGCGGAGATAACACAATCAATGTTGAATGTCACATGTGAAACTTGTTTTCCCTAGTTGTATGAAGGAAGTCGTTTTCCTCATTTTCAAGGACTTATTTTCCAAAAGTTTTGACCAACTTCCATACCGAAATACACCCTAAATATCACTACTTATTATTGTTACCCTGAGCTTGGTAGCATGATGGACAGATCGAAGAACATCTTGTAGGATCTACATTAAGGTATTCTCGATATAGTAAATATGTACTATAACATTTAGGGTAGAATGTTGTGTAGCATTAGTTGTAGAATATTATGCAGATTAATTTGTAGGATTTGCATTAACCGTAGAATATTTCTCGTGTATAAAAATACCGATGTATTCTTATGTGTTTGAATCAACGAATTAACACAATCATTCTTCAGCTTCTCTCTTGTTTTCGTTGTTTTTGACCCTCCTTTTTCTTTTACATAATTCTTTTGATAAATCTCATGCTGATTTATAAACTAAATGTAAAAAGTTGCACGTTGTAATTTGTCCAAATTTAACAAATCAGACTTCGTTGCATACGTAAACAACATGCACTTCGTAAGACATTTATGCCGCAGTTGGTTTTAAGTAATTTGGCTATGCAATTGTTTACCCTGTTAGTGTATAAAACTTAAGTTCTAAAAGAAGTTTGTTATATTTTTGGTTTTAGATTATCCATGCTTTGTACCTCTTTTAGTCTTTGTTTATTCACTGTGGAAGTCTAGCATAGTGATTTGACCTAAACATGTTGACTAGCACATTGTTATTATTTCCAGAATAACGTTTGACGCTGTTGGAAGTTCTTTGTCTTCTTTTCCGCTATAGTTTTAAGAATAAAACTTTATATGAACTCTCATAAGTTCGGAAAGTATCAGCCTAAAGAAGTTTCTATCTGAAGATTGAAAACATATGGTCAAAGGATGTAGCTGTGTATATCTTAATAGCAATGTTGGATGTGAGATTCAATGTATTTCAATAATTTGTTGTAGGAAATGTGGAATTGCCCTTATTCAACTGACTTGTTCGCAAAGTTTGCTGAGGACTTCAGCGATATAGACAGTGCCCCATCATTGCTTATGTTATCTGAAGTGGCTTCTTCCTTAGGAGTCACCATTATAGGTGGATCGATTCCGGAAAAGGATGCTGGTCAGCTGTACAATAGTTGCCCTGTGTTTGGGCCTGATGGAGAGTTAAAGGCAAAGCACAGAAAAGTAAGCTTTTTTTAATTAGAAGATAGAAAAGTCTACAACAAAGAACACATCTTTTACTTTTCTGATTAGTGTTAAGCTAGTTCTCAAATGCTTTACGAAAGTGAAAGAATGAATACAAGGATAAACTTTGGTTGCACCAAAAAGAAGTTAAAACAGGTGATTGGATGAAGAGAATAGCAAGATGAACTAGAAATGTAATTGTGCAATGCCTTTCTGCAGATACATTTGTTTGACATGGGTAAGCCACTGCCAGGAGAAGTTCAATTTAAGGAATCAGACAACATTTCCGCAGGAGAGAAGCCTACAGTTGTTGATACAGGTAGGCAACTGTTTCCTGCTTAATGCATTGACCTCTAAGTTTGGTAAGCTTACAGTTTTAGTATGTTCCATTGGTCCTTGAAGATATGATACAATTCTTCTGTCTATCTCGCATGTGAAATTTATTGACATTTTCTGCATCAGGAATCTCAAAATATTAGCAGAAAAATGAGCAACTGTTAGTCCTGCATCTGGCATAGTCATACATGTTGACATTTTCTCTACCTGCACAATTCTGATTTAGGTCTCATTGTTTCGGCCACACTTGTGTTGCTAGTAGTTTCAGCTCGCACTAAGATTCTTTCTTTAATTTCCCTTCCAGGCTTCCTACTTGAAACTGTACTTTTACGAATCTTATATCAGAAAACTTCAATCTGCAGATTTTGGACGCATTGGAATAGGAATTTGTCATGATATACGATTTCCTGAGCTGTCAATGTCGTATAGGGCCCGAGGTACTGTGGTTACATGTTTAAGTAGTTAGTAATCCTGTTGAACTAATTGTTCTCTTAAATTTTCAAATGAGAATCAGGTGCTCATTTAATATGTTACCCTGGAGCATTCAACATGAGTACTGGGGCGACCCTGTGGGAGCTGGAGCAAAGAACAAGGCAAGATGATTCTGTTTCGTGTAGTTGTGAATAGAGTTCACCAATGAAGGTTTTTTTAGTATATTTCATTAAAGAGCGACCAATGCAGTTGCACACACTTATAGAAATCATACATAAACTCCGAATTTGCAAAGTTCTGTGCTGTATTCTTATTGCTCATTCAACTTCGATTTTGCAGGGCAGTAGATAACCAGGTAATACCATGTTACTTTATGATGATAGTCCCCTTTGTCTTTATGTGGTATCTTGCTCCCCGTCGCGAGGCATGTTAACTGCATTTTTTGTAGCTTTATGTGGCATCTTGCTCCCCGTCTCGAGATTCAGCCGGTAGCTACATGATATGGGGTCACTCCACTGTGGTTGGACCGGTATGTTATGAAATTGCTAGTAGTTACTTTGGATTGCAGAGGTCTGTATAGAGCAATCAAAGAGATTTTTGTTTTTCTGGTGGGCAGATGGGTGAAATCATTGCAACCACTGGGCATGAGGAAGCAGTTCTAATTGCTGAAATTGATTATGCTGCGATTCAATGGACAAGGTGATGCATCGTTCAGTTTAAAGATTGATTAGTAGTATATCTTCACTTCTTATTTTTTTCCTCATTTTTTTCAAAGCTCGTGCAGGGAAAGCCTCCCTTTAGAGAGCCAGAAGCACAACGACATCTATCAATTCGTAGACTTACTCAGAGAAAGTCCCAGCTCCTAGAGGGCTTTTAGAGCAGAGCATTTTGATCAGATAGCATATCATGGCTAAGTGAAGTTCTGAAATGGGATTTTGCAGGAGTTGTTCATTACCAAGAAAATGCTTCGCTTATTTTGTTGGCAATTGTAACTGTGCAACAGTCCAACTATAGGGTCTATTGTATATATATAACCTTAGCTAGAAATTTTGGAAGAGACCATTTCCACAGCTTGAACCCTTGATCAATAATTGAAACAGTTGTTCCTAATCATTGTAAAATCCAATAAATACTTGATAATCATTCTAGAGGATCATCTGTCTTTGGTGGCGACTGTGGTTGTCTAGTTCTTTTAATTTTGTCTTGGTGGCTAATCTTAGATTAGTCCATAGATGACTATTAACATAGCATTACGAAGATGGTTAGTACCTTTCTTGACAAACCAGAATTACGAACGACTTGGGTGTACACAAAGTTGCAACTTCTAAGCATTTTCGAAGCTGAAACTAATAAATGTGCAAAATCTCCGAGTCCATGCCTCATCAAGTTAATAATTTTCATTGTAATATATATTGACATCAAACAATATGATACAAAATGATGACGTTGATCTTCATGAAATTGGTTATACAAAACAATTTGATGGTCCAAAAACCCCAAGTCAGTAATACACTCACAAAATAATAGTATCATTCCCAGCCCCCAAGTTTAACAGGTCAATAAAAACTAAACACCACCTTGTGAATAGGAAGCAAACACCAAGACTTTAGCCATTCGTAAAGAGCTCTTCATGCTAGACGTATGTGTAGCATTAGATATTGGAGGCTCAGTCACTAGACAACAGAATCTGGAAAGGAGCAACACACCCCAAGCCTAATCAAGACTACCACCTTTATGAGAGGAGGAACTCCAGTGCTTCTTTTCGATTCAGGAGAAGTTTATGAACCAATAGATATCTAAAGTTTGAAGAGTTCTGGAAGATGAGCATTTGTAAGCTTAGTCCTTTTGCTAATCTCATGCTTCTTCTTCTTGGTTTTGGGCTTGGGGACAATGCCATGGACTTGTGCCATTGCCCTTCTCTTTGCAGTGTTTGTAGCAGGTTTCATTCCATTCTTCTGGAGATCCCTTTCAATATCAAGCATGTCACGTGGTAATTCAATACCTCTGAATAACTGTTTCAAATCATCATCAACCTTAATAGGTACTCGTGGATCATTTGGGAAGGCAATGTCTTCCTGGGAATCAAAATTTGACAGCAGCCATATTTGACCAGCACCTTTGAGAGCCTATAGAAAATACATGTGTATCAGTACATTGAAAGCAAACAACTCAAAAGTCGCTTGGTATGAGAAATACCTGCAGGTCCTCCATGACAGTTGGGTATGCATCCTTGAGGTCGATTACAGCAATACCCTCAGGGAATTTTCGTATCAAGATAAGTAGTTGTTCTTTATTTTTCAGAGCATGTTTCGACTGTTGACAAATAATAAGTGAATTTATGTTACTAAAGACACAGATTCAGAGTTGATTGCAAATGACTTAAAGACAGAGGAGTACAATTAAGACCACCTTGATTTACCTTATAAGAGAAGCGATTGCCATCATAATATACTTTGAGGTTGTTCCTCAAACTGTCAAACACAGCTTTATTGCCATTTATATCAACATAACATGCTTCATTGATCTGTTCTGGTGTGAAAGCTTGCCTTGTCTGCATGTATGAAAATTAATTAGTTATCAATATTACAAGTATTACGATTACAGAATGTGTCAAAGTTCCCCATAAGATAACAGGACAAGACACTATTAATCAAGGTGGAGAATCCAGCTAAAATGGAGAGTTACACAAAATTCCTGGGGAATGACCATGTCAGATTTCAAATTATTAAGAACCTACAGATTAGTGCTGAATCAGTTCTTGATTCAGCCATCATTACTGTTGTATTAAGCATAATCTTTACCATTTTATATCTATTTCCTGGGCACATTTGGTGTCTTAATTTTGCGGTAATTCTACGTAGTTACTGCCCAGTAGCATCAAGGAAGAAGAACAAAACAATATTATACACGAATCAAATCTACCAACTTGAAGCTAAAAGAAGAAACACTGCCGGATATGACATGGTATGCGGTTGTGCTGTAGTGCCAGGTAGGAAATATGGCACCCTGAAGTCAATTCACATGATACTTAGTTAATTACATATGTAGTGCTAAAAGAAGAGATAAATCATAATCACCAAATCCATTACTTCAGCTAATAATGCAAGGATCCACCTCTAGCCTCAAGTAGGTCTGGCAACTAATAATAAATGGTTGATACTCTAGAAACTTGAACTAGCTTGTAATAGGATTAAGCATTTGTACTACTCCAACACGGGATGAAATAAATATACGATAGTACAACAAACTACATGAGACATCCTAAAAAATAATTCCCCAGAACATCAAAAGCCCTCCACTGAAACTGCAGTATTTAGAACATCTGTTCATTTCTTGTTTGATGTGCCCCAATAAAAGCACTTTGGATCAAATAAATTGCACCATCCAACATCGCACAAATCCTCAGTGGTAGACCTAGTCATAGATCTAAGACAATTGCCACAAGGTTATCGATCTGATCTCAACCAGCTAATAAGTTTTGACTGCCAACCAGTAAGCAAAGTTAAATTGCTCCTTAGTTCTAAGTCTGTAGGTCGCTTAATCCTAAGCTATTTCACTGTGGGATAAATTTAGAGATTTAGCAGTTTTGACACTTGCTTCTTGGTGCTAAGTTAAATTAGCTGCATCATAGCTCTTAATTTAGAAATAGAATTAAAGAGGGATTGAAAAACAATGAGAAAAGAAGTGGAGGCAATATACCTCCAGAAGCAAGTCTATGACACGTTTTATCTGAGCCCCAACAGGCCCTTTCCTTATACTATTTATATGCTGGAGCCTTTCCGTGTCATTTGAAAATTTGACTGCAGGTGCAGGAGGTTTTGCATTAGCTGGTCTTGGAGGAGCTCCCTTGGAAGGTCCTGCTCTGGCAGCCATACTGCTAATAGCTTGGCACTTCTCTTGCTGCTTCTTGAACCTTTGCAAGCTTTCTTGAAGTGATGCCATCTGGTAAACAATAGAAAGCTGCCATTAGAAAATGCTAGCCAGGCAAAGACATTAAACAAACCACTGCATAACTGAGTGAATGAAGAATCCTAACAAGTACAAGTTTTTCCAGAAGTAACATTTAAGCTTCCCCTCATAACTTGAGGTATTTTCTGTAACTCGACACAGATTTATAAAAGTGAATTTCTTTCGTCAGAAAGTGGCCAACTTATACAATCCCTCTTTTCAAGGACTTTCCCTACTTTTCTTTTCAAGTCATCCAAAGATGCATCAACTTATATCAAGGAACAAACATTCCAATCAACATCATTTAGGAAATATAGCACTTTAACATCCAATGTATACAAACAATGTTTCAAGTTCAACAAAGAAGTAACTTCATCCTGTTTTGCACTCAGGTATATCAGCATCACACGAAAATTCAATAACTGTCTTCATACTTGTGCTTTGTCAACATAGTAAGCAGGTACCCTAATTCTCTCACTCTTTCTCATAGAGAACTGGTTAATCCTGTTATCTAATAAATGTCCCATTATTTGTCTTTGAACTATAAGTACTACAAGTTAGTATACACAGCAGGGTAAAATCACACCATGTACTATTCCTCATTAGGGATCCTTTAATTCAACTCTAAAAGACATGAATAAGCAAGAATGCTATATGTGTCATGAAATTATCTCTAAAACATTACCGTTTAAATCAGTATTTCGTTTCCAGAAAAATCGAATCAGTAATGCTCTTGACCTATTTCCTTTTTCTATTCATGCCCAATCAAAACGACGAATCAATCATGGATCAATCAACTACATCTCAATCCCAAACTAGTTCGGATTCATATATGAATCCTTTGTAACCAATTCGCTCTATTCAGGCCCAATCGCAATAAGAAGCACAAGAAATAAGCTTCCAAAAAAGATAATAAACACAAAAATATATGGTCTTGACCTTGGATAGACACGATAGAGATGAAGAATTAGCCGTAGAAAACGTCCGGGATGGACGGCGGGAGTCGACCACGGCGGCGATTAACAGAGAGCGATGATCGGAGAGGGGTTTGGGCCTTTAACAGAAATTCTATTGAATATGAATCGGGTTGGCTTGCAGACTATTTAAGGCTGACACGAAAGGGTAGAATATCACTTTGATCCCTAAGGATTAGAATACTTACACTTAAGCCCTTATATTTATTAAAGAGGTACTCTAACCGTCCCAAAAAATAAAGGTGACGTAAATTTGGACATTGATTCCTCATTACTACATTCGTACTTCAAATCGATCACAGAAAATTGGACATATAAATTCAAAGAAAATCTAGATAAAAAGGTGTAGTTTTTTCTTCTTTTGAAACCATCTAAAAAAAAATTAGAAATAGTTTAGTGGTTCAAGTTACTTCTTCCCAACGATATCCAATCTACATCTCGAACAAAAACTAGTTTGAATCACCGTATCACATATTTCAAATTAAATTAGCATTCCTTAACCCCTATATTAACAAACACGTATATATTATAGCATGTGCCTTTCTTTTTGGAACTCCAAATTGATCCGTCAACAATACCTATTATGAATTGTAGATTTGGTTTAGATGGAACATAAAATTTAGTTAAGGGAGAACTCTATGAACTTTTGTAACAAGTGATCAAGCTTATAATAATAGTTTCTTTGTCAAAATTAGAAATTGAACACTGAAGTTGGACAAATAGAATTTACATAAACTATAAGAAACATTCTAAGAAATAGCTCAAAACTCCAGACATAAATTTCAAAAACTGAAGATAGCTAGTTAGCATTGTCAACAAAATTAGCTAAAACTGTCCAGGTAGTACCAATTCTTCAGAGCAACATATCTTGTAAATGTGTGACCAAGACTGTTGGTCCAACAATAATGTACTATTACTCTCCCTAATTGCATCCAATATATCCTTCAAAGGCACATTATCTAAGGCTTCTGTAACAAAGCTGGATTCTTCTATTTCACAAAGTGTCTCAGATTGTTCTTGTGGTTTTGGTTGATGTTGTGTTTGACTCTTCTCCAACAATGTGTCACCATATGTCCGTATCAAACATTATCATATATTTCAGGATCATCATTTTCTAAGAGCTCATTGATCTTCTCTTCACCTGATGATGAAGCCTGTGATCGCTTTAAATTTCTGATTCATCTGCGGCTGAATTTACCCCTAAAACCACTTTAGTATAAACCTTTTGTTCGTCCACCTTAGTATCCACCAGAAAAATCCATAATTGTTATACTCACATTGCTATTGGAAGATTTTTTTTTTGGACTTCATTTTTATGGCACAAATAACATAATTTATATACTTAAGAGTTTCTGAACTTTCTAAGAATAACTTCACAAAACGCGTATTCCTTCATGAGCCACTTGCCATTACCAGGACAAGACTTATCGTAGACAATAAAATTCGGATCCGGGAAATAATAATCAAGAATGGAAAATAATGCATCAATCGTATTTATTGATTTCAAAGTGCGAGTGTTACAATTTCCTCTGATTCATCTTTTCAGATATAATTCAAGATTCGTCTTTTCAGATAATTCAAGATACGTCTTTTCAGATATAATTCAAGGGCTCTTGAGCTTAATCTTAAATTTGTTCTTGAACTTGATCTTGACTTTACACTTGATTTCAAGGGCTTCGAGTTTGATCTTGAATCTTGTAGTCTTAATCTTGATTTGTGGATTTGACAAACTTGATATGGACTTATCTTGAACTTGATATTGGATTCAAGGGCTTTGGAGCTTGTTCTTGAATCTTCGATGAACTTTATCTAGAACTTGTTCTTGAATCCGGTGGTCTTGATCTTGATCGTTCTTGAACTTGAATACTTGAATTCTTGAACTAGTAGAGAAATCTGCGACTTTGATCCATGAGCTTTTCTCTAACTTCTTGTTAGAATTCTTGGTTCCTTTTCTGAATTATGAGGACTCCTATTTATAGTTTTAGACTAGAGGAGTTGTGATAAGAACATGATTCCCTTCAGCTAATCAGATTTAAGACATGACATATGGGTTTTATGGAGTGGACTTTAATTAAAAGGAAAAAGGACAAATATACCCCCAAACTTTGAAAAATGGTACGTCTATATATACCCTCCATTATACTTTTCGTCCATCTCAACCCTTGTCGTACAATAATCGGTGCATATTTGCCCCTCCCACTAACAGCACCCTCTTTGTGTACACATGGCGAAATCCTAAGCCACTACCCGGTTGACCAATTCTTTTAACCCAAATCCTAAGAATCCGCCCCATAACCCAATAAAAACCCACCCGATTTGTGGGTAAAATATACTCTTTAAAATCTAAAGAAAAGACCCAAATCCTAAGTCACTTTTGTTCATCTCACAAACCCTAGCCCAGTTCATCAGACCTAACGTTCGTCGATTAACTGAGATACAGTCATAGGTACCCATAATTTCACGTTGTTCATCTCACATATCTCGTTTTGTGTTTTCGATTTTCATTCGTAGCTAGTAAGAAATATGTTGTTGCGTTTTGATTTTCACTTGTTTCTTTAATTTTTGTCTAGAATCTTCTTTTTATAGTGATTTGTAGGGGTTTGTTCACGTTTATCTTAAAAAATGAACTTCGTTTTCTAGGGTTTTACTTATTGTCGTTTTATGCGGATTTGTTAGGGTTTTGTGCACCTTGATGTTAAAGAATTGTTTTTTTTTTGTTTGTGTTTCAGATGTGTTGCTTTGGTAGTGTCGTTTTCTGTGATTTATGATTATTTTAGCTTCTTTTTTTGTGGATTGTCTCCATCCCTGTCTTTATTCCATTTCTTTGTCTTTATCCCCTTTCTTCATGCCTTTATTCCCTTTCTTTATGACCATTTATTATGTACAGTTAGGTAGGTCCATAAGAACTAATTGATAGTTTATATTAATTTCATTCTGTACAGTTAGGTATGTCCATAAGAACTAATTGATAGTTGATATTAATTTCATAACCACTTGTTTAATCTTGATTTACTCATCTTAATTGTTAATTAGTAGTGTCTAATTATCTCACGTACTTACAGGGGCCACTAGTTTAATATTATTTTACTTAGTTCATTTATTAATTAGTATTGTGTAATTAACTCAAATACTTAACAGACTTAAACATTCCTTGTTTGACTTACCTTGTTTGACTGTCACTTTTGATTTTTTCTCCTTTATTCCTAACTGAGTGCTAACTAATGTAATGTGACTTATCTTGCTAACTTAACTAATGTAATGTGACTTAATAACTTAACTAATGTGAGTACTTAGTAACTAACCTTATACTAATGTGAGTACTTACCTTGTTTGTTTGACCATTACTTTTTACTGTTTCTCTTTTATTCCTAATGTGATTACTAACTAACCTTACACTAATGTGAGTACTTACTAACTAACCTTACACTAATGTGAGTACTTACCTTGTTTGTTTGACTGCCACTTTTTATTGTTTCTCCTTTATTCCTAATGTGACTACTAACTAATGTAATCTGACTTGTTAAATTCTTTAAGTCTGACTTATGTGACTTAATAACTAACTAATGTAACTTACTTATGTTATTTACTAACTATGTGACTGACTTACTTATTGAGTTACTTGTTAAATTCTGTAAGACTTAAATAATTCTTAAGTCTTATTTTTGTGACTTAATAACTAAGAAATGTAGCTTACTTATATGGATTACTAACTGTGACTTAATAACTAAGGTAACTTGCTTATAGGACTTACTAACTGTGACTTAGTGACTATCTAACTAACTTATTTCCTAATGTAACTTGCTTATATGACTAACTAATGTAATGTGACTTATACTAATGGGAGTACTTAGTAATGTATCTTTTTATTGTTTTCTCCTTTAATCCTAATGTGACTACTAACTACTAACTAATGTAATTTGACTTGTTAAATTCTCTAAGTCTGACTTATATGACTTAAAGTCATTTCATTTTCAGATTCTCTAAATACAAGGAAAACATAAGACTTTTTAAAGTTGATTTAACATGTGTTAGTAGAGAACTTGGAGTCAGTCACCATCAAGCTTTATGGCAAACTAAAAACTTTATCCATCTTCAACATAATGACTAATAGAACACCTCTAAATACTAGAAAATTTATGGCAAAAGACACAAAATAATGTTCCATGCCAACTAAAAATTGACAAAACGTTTGAAGTAAATATCTACACTAAATAATGGTCAAACTAACACAAAAGAAAAAATTATCTAAAACAAATGAACACTTGAAAATAACTAACACTTGAAAATTACATTCAATACACATCTTTCTTATGCTGAAAGAACATCTGAATCACAAAGGGAAAATGAAAAATATACACTAACACAATTCAAAACATAAGACTCACTAATACATAGGAAAACTTGGAATAACTATCACTTGAAAACTACATTCAAGAACATATATTTCTCATGCTACACAACATTCAATCTCTTGAAAATTGCAACACCAAATACCACAAACATAGTGAATGACAATATACACAACATCTTCAACTTCGACGCTTTTGCTTCCAAATTTCTTGATTTATTCACTTCAAAGTAGTTTAAACTCTCTAAATTCTTCAATTTTTTCTTTAAATTGTCTCTTTCAATCTTAACCGTATTCAGCGACTCTCTCAAATTCTCCATTTTCAACGTAGCAACTTCCAATATAGACTTCAGTAAATTTACTTCAATGGAAGAATTTCATGAGGAACTATCTTCCCACCTCCAAAATCCACAATTTTCAATCTCATAAGAATAATAGAGAAGAACTCATAATCACCAAAATACAAGTAGAAATCATATTAATTGACATTTAGTGAAAAACGTACCTTAGGTTTTAAACATCTATAAAATCTTCTTTCGGGGTTCAATGGAGTTGAAGTGAAACAACGAGCCATTTCACCACAAAAACAAGTCATCATCATGGAGTTACTAATTGAATCACAACTACTTTCAGACATGGTTTTAGGTCTGATTTGAGGGAGACGACGGATAGATGAAAAATTGACTAAGAAAATATGACGAACACACGATGGAATCGACGAACAAACGATGAAAACGACAAAAAAACGATGGAA